AACTTTTAAAGTTTTGCTTTTCAAGTTCTCAATCCAATTAAAATTGGAATTGATTTTCAGCTTTATTTTTATTTTTCATTTGTCCCAGCAAAATTTACTGACTTAGTACTCTGATCTGCAGTAGCCATTTTACCATATATTAAATTTCCTTATATGTGTGGATGTATTTTGGGGATTTCTAATTCTGTTCTCTTGGTCTATTTTCTACCTCTGTGGCAATATCACAGTATTTTAATTACTGCTGCTTTCTAATTCTTGTTATCAGGCAGGATGAGTTCCCTTATTTTCTTATCTTCTTTCTGCTTCAGAAGAAGTGTCTAACTATTCTTGACCATTTGCTCTTCCGTATACAGTTTAGAATCATTTAAAAACATTACAAAAATATTTTTGACTTTTGATGGGAATTGTGTTAATCTACATATCAATTTGGAAAAAAACTAACATCTTAAATTAGGATAATGTGTTCTAATTCATGAAAATGGTGTGTTGATATGTGTTTATGTTTATTTAAGTCTTCTATAATATCTTTAAGTTCTGTAATATAGTTTTGCATACCTTTTGTAAGGTTTTATCTTCTCCATGACTTATATTTTTTGTTGCTAACTGTAAATTATACATTTTTTAAATTTGCATTTTCTGTTTGGAACTATCCATTTTTAGCATCTCTGATTCATAAAATGGCAAATATTTCTTTATTTTCCTACACTCTGGAATAGTTTGTATAAGATAGAATGATTCGTTTCCCGGTTATTTTGTAGAACTTACAAAACTCCCTAAGTCTGAAATTTCTTTATGGTAAAAATTTTAACTAATGATTCATATCTTTTCTGGTTATTGACCTATTCAAGTTCTATATTTCTTCTTGAATTAACTTTGGGATTTATATGTTTCTAGGAATTTGTGAGTTTTGACCAAATATTCAGAATAATTATCATAAGGTGGTAAATAATATCCTGTTTTTATGTTTCATTTTTTTAAATGTCTGTAGCATCTATAGGGATGCCCTTTTTTTCATCCTGATTTTGGCTATTGGTGTCTTCTCTCTTTTTTTGTTCATCAATCTTGCCAGCAGTTTGTCAGTTGGATTAGTCTTTAAAACAAAAAAAAAGAAGACAATTTTGGTTTTTTTTGATACTTTCTACTGTGTAGTAGTTTTTCTCTCATTGATCACTACTCTTATTTCTATTATTTCCCTTCTTCTCCTTCCTTTGGGTTTATTCACTTTTCTCTTTCTAACTTCCTGAGATGAGTACTCAGCCCATTACTCTGCAGTCTTTCTTTGTCTTTAGAATAAGAAGTAAGGCTACAATCTTCTCCCGATACTGCTTTACTATCTGTATCCCAGTGATTCTGATGAGTATTTTCATAATCATTCAGTTCTAAATATTTACTAATTCCTAGTTTGTTTGCTTGTTTTTCTTTTATTCATGTGTTAGAGTGTGTTTTTTAATTTTCACAAGTATGGGGTTTCCTTAGTTGTTTTTTCGTTGTTGATTTCTAATTTAACTATTACAGAATGTGGACTGTATGATATAGATTCTTTGAATTTTGTTGAGATTTTCTCTCTGGCCTATTGTATGACCCATTTTTGTAATGTTCCATGTGTTGAAAATAATGCATTTTTAGTGTACTGCATATGTCCATTAGATCAAGCTCGTTAATTGTGTTTTTCAATTTTTTTTTTAACTCCTTACTGATTTATTGTCTATTTGATCTATCAATTTTGAGAGAGATGTGTGAAAATGCTCCTCTGTGATTTTGGATGTGTTTATTTTTCTTACAGTTCTGACCATTTCTTTTTTACATACTTCAAAGTTATGTTATTAGGGACACACAAATTTAGAATTATATCTTCCTGTTAAATTAAACATCTTTATTAATATGTAGTCATCCTCTTCATTCGTAGTAATGCTTTTTGTCTTGAAGTCTAGTGTTTCAATATAGGCACTCCTACTTCCTTTTGCAGAGTATTAACCTAGTATGTTTTTACCTATCATTTTGGTTGCAGTCTTCTTCTATCTTTATGTTTTTAGAAGTTTCTCTTATAAACAAATAGTTTAAAAATAAATGTAAAAAATCTAGTCTAAAAATCTTTGATTTTTAATTGAAGAGTATGTCATTTATGTACATTGTGATTATTGTTAAGTTTGATTCGTTGATATTGTCTTAATTTTTGCTTCTCATTTGTTCAATTTCTTTTCAAGGTTTGTTTTTTCTTGTCTTTATCGCCTTTTATTATTTGATATTTTTCCCTTCTGTCAGTTTTTCTCTTCCCTCATTCAACTAGTTTGGAAGTTACACACTTTGTTTCAATTCTATCAGTATAGAACTTAGAAACCATAGTTCACATATTTATCTTAATAAATTTAAAGTTAATCAATATCTTATATAAGGACACTAGGCCCCCATGTTTTGTATCTTGTCCCACATGTACTCACTGCTCATTAAAACTCATGCTTAGGGAGTTGGCCGAGAACCTCAGACAAATGCTAGACTTAAAAATTTTCTTACCCTTGTAGATTCTCACTTTAACATTTTTAACCTCTAGGGTATTCCCTTACTTTGTCTTCTGATAAGCCATGTATCATAGAAAAAAATTATTATTTTATCCAACAATTATTTTGGGGGCGGGGAGGGATGTATCTATGAACTTCTGGTCTACCACGTTGCCTGAGCTCTTTTCTCCCAATCTTCTATTTTCTGTCCTATGCATTAAATACTTCATTATTCCTCAGCTCTTCCTCAGGATGCTGACTAAATTTTCTCTACACAATCCAAGTTTTAAAAACTTTGTGCTAAGGGTTTCCCCTACTTATTTCCCCAAACTCCTTTCTCTGGAATAAAATTTGGATTTACCTCTATTCATTCATATTTCACACTGACTTCAGCCTTGGTGCTATTAAATACAACACATGTCAATAGGGCAAAAAATAAATATAAAATAAAGCTCAATGATTAACCTTGACAATTAATGGCTCCAATGCCTGTCAGCAAATATCCAAAACAGAGTGTATTAAGCTGCCAATACCTATCAAACTCTTCACTCATGTTGAGGAGTTGATTTTTTTTCTTACTAAAAGAGTAAACATGTT